CGGTCCGCGGGGGCGCGCCGTGCGCGACCGCCGCACCGCCCCCTGCTGGCGAGAGCTGCGGGAGCGGCGAGCTCGACTCACCTGGCCCGTCCGCCCAGCTGCTGGTAGCCGCGTGGGGTGCGGGACCCTACGGCAGCGCCCTGAGCCGCGCGGTCAGCGCCGCCCTGGAGCAGCTGTGGGCCATGGCGCCGCCGCGCCTGTCGGCGCGCCACTTCATACAGCAGCTGAGGAGCATTTGGTTCAACCTGGTGAGCCGAATCGGGTTGCATGCCGAGACAAACCACTCATGTTGACAAGCAAACGTGCGGGATCTAAATGTGGGACCTCAGAGCTGGCTGGTGCCATCTGGGCGGTTGCCTGGCACGACCCGATCCGGGCCACTCAATGAGCACCGCCCTCGCCCCGCGAGCGCAGGCGGGCGTCGCCGGCGCGGGCGCCGGGGCGCAGGCGGGCGGCGGCGAGGCGCGCGTGGTTGACCGCGCCACCCTGGAGGCCGTCTGCGGGGAGTGGTCAAAGGTGCGGGGTGTCGGGGTGCCGGCAGGGAGGTCTCGCATCAAGGCAACCGCATGACCCTGGGGAGGCGGCGGAGTTGACGGCAGGGTTTTGTTGGGGAGTAGCGAGGGGTTGCCGGGCGCGGCAGGGTTCGGGAGGCTGGCGATGTCGTCAGAGGCATCCTCGAGCGATCTTAGCGGTACCAGGACAGCCAGCCAGCTGCAGCCGAGCAGCAGCCCCTGCTGCCAGCTGCGCGGCCCCTGCCCGCGTCGCCGCGACCGACAGCCCTGCGCCCGCCCGCGCCGGTCGGCCCCGCCCCTCGCGTCTCTGCTGCCCCACCTTCAGCGCAGCACCCACACCTCGTTCCCAACACTCACACCAGCTGCTGAGCTCCCCCCCTCCTCTGCAACGCGGCGGCCCGCCCGCAGGACTTCCGCCGCTGCGAGCCGATGGACGACTTCTTCAGCCTCTTCGGCGTCTCCATGCTGCTGCGGAAGGCGGCGCGGCTCATGAGGGGCATGCGGATAGAGCTCAAGGGCGACATGCTGGAGGTCACCCAGATCTGCGCCCTGCGGTGGCTGAGCGTCACCGAGGCGTTCCCGTTGGCGCCCCACGCCGCGCCCGGCGAGCACCGCCGCCGCGACCTCCGGCGCGGCCCGCAGCGCGGCACGCTCGAGGGCGCCGCGGCCGGCGCGGTGCGGGTGCGGGTGGAGTGGGGGGCGCCGCTCGAGGGCTGCGCGGTGGACGAGATGCGGCTCGTCCCCGCCGCGCCGCGCCGCGGCGGG